CACACACACACACACACACACACACACACACACACACACACACACACGGAACCCTCGCCCGGGGCTGGGCAGCCTGAAGCTGGAGGCGTGGTCCGCACACTGGCCAGGTGGCTGCTGCACTCACCTGGCTGCTGCCGCGCTCTTCGCCCTTCTGTAGAGCCTGGGGCTCGGCGGGACCCCGAACCGATTCTGCCGGAGGTGGCGAGGGTTCCAGCAACTGCTCCAGGCACGCGGTCCCCGGCAGAGACGAGCTCTTCTGGTGGCACAGGTGTGCCCCAGGGCCTCCACGCCGTGCACCCTCATCTCGGACGCGGTCCCCCCGCGGGGGCGGTTGGGGAGAAGAGGACAGGGAGGATGAGGCGGAAGAAGAAGGGGCCGAGTCCGGGGAGCGCCCGCCAGGAGGCGTCACTCCGGCTGCCCCTGCGGCTGTCGCGGACCCCTTAGCCACGGGCAGCAGATGTTCTCGGAGGCGGCGGCGCAGCGTGGACCCCTGCTCGGCTCTGCTCGCCCCGCCCGAGTCCAGGGGCTCTGGGGAGGAGCAGCACAGGTTGGGCTGCGAGGAGGAGAACACTCGGTCTAGCACTTGCTTCCGCTTTTTGAAGCCGCTCCACCTGCTGCCGGTACTCGCCGCGGCGGCCAGCGCGTCCTGCGCGGCCCTCGGGGGCGGTGGGGACGGGGTCGGGGTGGCCGCAGTGCGGCGCTCCGGGGCCCCGGGGCGCCCGGCCCCGCCACCTCTGCCCTTGCCCACCCCCAGCTGCAGGTTTCTCCAGAGCCGGGCCTGGAAGGAGGGGGACGAGGCCGACTCGGGCTCGCCAGGCGCGGCGGCGCGGGGCTCCATCCTCCGGCCGCGGCACGTCCTCTCCGCCCCGGCCGCCTGTCCTCCGCCCTGCCGGGCTGCGCCTCCTCGGGGAGCGTGGAGGCGGCGGCGGCCCGAGCAGCAGCACAAGCCGGGAGCGCCCAGCGGCTTCAGGCCAGCTCGGGGCGACGCCGCCGCGGCCGAGGCCCTCCCGCCGCCGGGCGCCGCCGCCCTCGCCCGCCGCACCTGCCGGGCTTCGCGCAGCGGCCGCGGCGCCTGCAAAGTTTCTAGCGCGAAACTCCTCCGCTCCAGTCCACGGGGTGGCCCCAGGCCGCGCTCCGCTCCCTCTCCGCGCCGGCTCCGGGCTGGGGAGGCTACCGACCCCGGAGTCGGCTTCCAGCCGGGCTGGGACCACACCCGCGCCCTCAGGCCAGCACCTGTCAGTGCCGGAGACCGCCGCCTCCCAACCCGGCGCGCGCGCGGCTCACACGACAGGGCGCGTCCTGCCGTAGACGTCGAGGACCAGCAGCCCCGGCTAAGCCACCCAGGACCATCCTCCCGCTCCAAGGTGGGAGGGCGGGCAAGAGCCGGGAGGAGCTGCGGAGGGCCGGGAGCCGGCTTGACCTGGGTGAGGACCTACAGACGCACACACACAGCTAGCTTCAGGGCGAACCCTGCTCCAGCGGATCAGACCAAGTGCATCCGAGTGGAGCGCATATACGCGCCCCTGGTGGGTCCCGTAGGAAGTCCAGCGTACACGCCTCCTGCCGTAAACCTCTCCAAATGCCCAAACAAGACTGCCTCCAGCCTTGGGCATCGAGGGCTCAAGAGGAGAGTTTGATCTCTTCTGTTTTGACTTCCTCACCACCCACCCTCCACGCTCGTTGTTTGCGTGTGCGGGGACTTTCCTTATAATCAGGGTATAACAATTCCCAGAACCTGACAATAAAGCTAACCCTTGAAGACGCAGGGCGATCCCCTTGGAGAGAGATGGGGGAGATGCCCCCTGCCTGGGACCCTATTCAGAGCTCAGAGGTTTTTTGTGTTTTTTCTTTGTTTGTTTGTTTTACTCAAGCAGATTTTTCTTTAGTTACTTCTTTCAGTTTGTCTAGATTTTGCTTCTCCCCAAATGTATGCATCCAGGGTCTTCGGACCCCACTAGCTCTCTTCTGAAAGGCAGGTAACACCTCAGTGTTCCTCCTTCAGAGTACTGTTTGACTACTTAAGGCGGGCATTCCCTCTCCTTTCTCTCCATCAATTTGCCCTGGAGGTGTGGTCAGTCTGGTTTTATTCTTCTTGCACTTCTAACGAACACTTATTGAGCATCTACAATGTGCCAGGCACTGTGATCAGCACTGGAGAAACAGTTGTGAACATGTAGGGTCCAGGAGAGTGAAAGAACAAACAGACTTTTAAGCAGTGGCCGGCCCTAGAGAGACAATAAGAGTACTATGACTCGGTTGCTATAATATAGGGCATCCCGTTAAATTTGCGTTTCAAACAAACCGCAATAATTTCTAGTATATGTACAGCCCAAGTGTTACAGGGAACAAAGACCAAAAGATTGTAGTTGTTGTTTATCCAGAGTCTTGTTTTACTAGGAACCTTTTATCTTTCCTGAATCTAACAAGCCATATTTACTGGGGGGGGGGGGGCCTCTCTGAGAAGACTAAGTTTGAGATGATACTAAAAAGGGGAAAAGAGCCATTGAAATCAGAATGCAGCATTCCAGGCAGAAAAACTGCAGAGGTGAAAGGCAGCAAGTCCACAGAGACTGAGGCTGTTCCAAAGAGGGTGAAGACAGGTGGATATGGCTGGTCAATTTTGCAGTCATATCCAAAAAGGACTTTGAAAGTGCTGTAAGTGAAATCAGGAACCATTTGGTGTAACCAACTCACGGTCTACAGCTGTTCTACACGTACTCCAGAACAGCTATAAATACGGCCCAACTTAAAAGAAATGTTAAAGTTGATTGCATGGATCTTGAGCATTTGCAGGGGGAAACGGTATGTCCCATGTCAAGAGGTTGGACACGCCTGCTAGAGTATTTTCAGACCTGGGAATACTGTGGCTCACTATTACATCCTGGCACTATTTTGAGAATGTGATGTCTTTTTGAAGGACTTAGTCTCATGCCGTGTATATAGTTAACATTGCTGTTTTACATTTATGAACATTATGCTTTGGGGAAGAGGCAAATGATCAGTTAAATATTGTAGGTGGCATTTACATAACACTCTTGAGATTGAATAGTTGGAAACAATGGTTTCCAGGAGTTATCAGTTGAGCAAATATAAAGGAAGGTGCAAGGAAGTTAAGCTGCCAGTGAATACTGACGGGCTGCCAGCTGAGGGGATGGCTACATGCGTCTCCACATGGGATAGAAATGAATAGAACCACATTCACATATCCACATATGTGTGCCCATAAAAGCTGGTGAGATCCGAACGAAATCAGTGAGTTTTAACAGCTTCAATTTCTTAGTCTTGGCATATCCTACCGCTAGATATGACAGCATTAGGTGTAATTGGATGATGTTCACAAGGGAATTCTACATAGTACTTTTGAAACTTCCGCTGAGCCTTTATTTCAAAGTATAGAGTATATTAAAAGTGAAAAATGATAACATTTTTAACACTTTGGAAGTTAAGAGTTTTTACATTTTGGTAGACTCTTGAGAGTTCTCCTTTGTTGCTGTAATTGAACCATCAAGGGCCACTGTTTTCCTGCATCTCTGTTCTCCCCAGCCCCCATTCATCCCCTAATCAATCCAGAGAGCACTGAGATACAAGTGAGGGGAGAGCCAAGCTGGCTAAGGCAGAGTCCCCGTAGCCTAGGAGCCTGGCTTCTCGTGCTGCCACAGAAGGGATGAGGATTTCTCCCTGCAACGAGAGGAGCAGTCCTGTCGGCTGTTACAGAAGCACCTGCCCCTGTGGAAGCAGAGGCTTTTCCCTGGTTCCTCCTTCCTAGCACTCCCATTTTACTTCTGCTTATTTCACTGAGAATAAGATGTGGCACGGTGCAGAAAGAGAAGGAGAAAGAGAAACACATAATAATAACAACAACAATAACACTAGCTGCCTCTTACCAGAACTTCCTGCACGTCACAATTGTCATGTTGAAACCCACAGACAACTCTACACAAGCCACTTTATGTTGATGGCCTACAAATAGTTCAGTTTTTCTGTTTTCTCTTCTATCTAATTTTGGCTTTAGCTGTAGTGGAGGAGATTTGGCAGTTGACGGCCACTGAGGGACAGAGTCACTCTCCTCTGGGGATACTAAGTGTATGGCTACTGGCAGGTGGCCACACCCGGTGGCCAACTGCACACGTGTGCATGAGGGCAGCTGTAGCTGGGGTTAGGGAGTTATCGATAGTGGATTTTTAAGAACATGAAGTAGCATCAAGACATGGTGGGAAGCATTGGGGAGCTGGAGGGGCAGTGCTGGGTGAAAATGATGAAAATACATTGTATTATCTCTAAGGGATACATATTTAAAATTACTCCACGGATGAGTTCTAAAATATATGTTACCAAATAACAGTTATCTACAGATATACATTCTGTCATGGGGTTTGAAAGAATATGTGCAACTTTCTGAAGTACCTGAAGTGGACTTAAAAAGGCAGTCATGGGGGCAGCCTTAACAGGCCACAGAGAAAAACAATGCAGCCAGTCCTAATGCACTCTGATAGGCTGGGGTCATAGGGAAGGGGAGGAGGACCTCCCCTATCAGTGGACTGGGGGAGGGGCATGGGAGGAGAAGAGAGAGGGGATGAGGGAGGGGATACAAAGTGGATAAACTGTAATCAAGAAAAAAAAAAAGGCAGCCATCCTACAGCCTGAACAGCATATAAAGATGACCAGATGTGGTTTCTGCTTTCAAATATCTTATTATATTTAGGAGATAATACTAAAAATAAAATTTAAACATGATAGGACATAAGAAGTTCGTGCTGAGCATGCTTGCTGAACAAGTATGAGTACTTGAGTGCAGATCCCCAGAACTCACAGGAAAAGCCTGGTGTGCCAGCAGGTCCCTGCAATCCCAGAGCAGGGAGGTAGACAGGATTGGAGAGCTCATGGGCCAGCCAGGCTTGCCGATCAGTGAACTCCTGGATCACTAAGAGACTGTGTCTCCAGAGGGTGAAGAGCAATAGAAGAGGCATGTAAAGTCAATCTCTGGCTTCCACATGGGCATGCTCAGCTACACACACATACAGAGAGAGAGAGACATATACACATACACCATAAACAAATCAATAGAAAAGGAATGATATGAAATAATCATTGATGAGACATGGGAGTGAGCAAGAGAGAATCACTCCTGAATACTCAATAAAAATGTCTGATATCTTACCTGAGATCTCATCTCAGCTAAGATCAGTTGTAGGTCATAGAGTACACAAAGGGAATACACCATCCTCAGGGGTAGAAAACAGCAAAATACAAGCTACATGCAAAGTCTTCAATGACTATTTCTTATTGCTTTTACTATTGCACTTTAGCTGTTGCTAGGACACTGTTGTTAAATGTTGTTAAATGAGCACATGCATCGAATCTGGACATGCAGGAGACTTGGAACGTTAGAGACAAGATTACTCTTTAAGAAAAGAGCCAAGTGTAGACATTAACATATTTTTTTTCTAAGAAGAGAGAATATTAACTGTAAGGAGCTTGAGGCGAAAAAACACACTCATCTTGAGGAAGAAGCTTTAGAAAGAAGATAGCACAGTAATGTCTCAAGGCTAAACTATAGGGCTCTTGGCAGCAATGGGGGCTTTAGGTTAGGGTAAAATAGGAGGCATCATAGAGTGTTGGGTAGACTTTCTCTCTAAGCCAACAGCATTTAAGAGGTTGACTGTGGCATCTATGCTAACAGTAGAGTTGAGGCTTAGGGCAAGGGTAGAATTTAGAGGAGAACCATTGGAATGGTGGCTTCAGTTGAGGTAGAATGGAAGAAGTGGTAAACACAGTCATGGCCTAGATCAGTGGTTCTCTGCCTGTGGGTCGTGACCCCTGGTAAGGCTGTGCAACCCT